CCCCTGTGGGTAGTGTGATGGTATTGGCTGCAGAGGCTTTTGCTTCGTCTTCAATGAACCTCAGGTGCAGCAGGCCGCTGTCCCTTAGTGCCCCTGTTGAGGAAACTCTTGAGGTGGAGGTAGGCTCAGCTCCTCCGTCATCATACTTAGAGCCTTAGAGTTACTACACAGCATGAGTGGAATAGGTTTCAGCTGAGTTTGATTAAAAATAAGTAGTAGTGTTCATAGAATCACTGAATCAGGAAAGTATTTGAAGGAACCAAACAAACTAGAAAGAAAAGAGCCTCTTTAACCCATATTTTCTTGTCCCTTTTGTTCTTGTTTTAAAAGATGACCTCAGGCAGGGAGATTGTGGGCTGCTTCAGAATAGGGAGTTAGAACAGTCCATGTGTTGGAATGCTTCCCCTAGCTGGGTCTGCAAGGGAGATTCCAGAAGGAAATGAGAAGACTATTCAAGTATAAAGTCCTCATAGGAACTGTTGTGTTTGTTAGAAATTTTGTCACCTCCTATGATTGACACTTGGATCCTGCAATTGACAGAGCCATGTGGAAGGCAGGGTAATAGTGCCTTAACCAGGACCTCTAATGATCAGCCCATCCCTACCCAAAATGTGTCCATCTAGAGAACACAATCTTCTAGAGAAGATTGGATCATCACCTTCATATATGTACCTTGTGCTGCTGACAGGTTGATCTGAGGGCATTGTGTATGTCAGAACAGCCATTTCTCCATTTGAAATAGAGACACCAGATGTGTAAAAAGCTGGCTTCATCATGGCTGACACACTCTACCCACATCAGCCTGACACACAGAGTGTAAAGCAGAAGGCAGCTATGGGAACATGGTAGATACCAGGCACTGAGGGCCTTCCCTGAGCATGCCTCTGCCCTCACTGTAGGCATGCCCCTCCTCTGATGAACATAGCCCTTAGATACAGACCTCTGCTCATGAGCTTATGGTTGAGGCTTGGTCCTCAGTAGTGTGTGTGACTGTTATCACCACTAGGAGCTACTTTTCTCAGACTTGTTACAGCTAGCCATTTCTAATGCCCTGCATCTAGACTCTGCTTAGAGTTTCCTCATATCGGGAAGAGGAGATGTTGACTTCTGATTTTTTTGTAGCAAAAAATAAAAATCACAACTCTTCTCCTACTTAGACCTAAATAGTTGATTAATATTTATTAAAATACAAGCTGAGTATTAACTTGGGCACCATTTTGATCAAATTCAGGGTACTAGGTAGATTTTAGAAAAGGTTTATAAATACAAAAGATGAAGGTGAAAATTCAGTACTGTTTAAGTTTAAGGTAATTAATGTTTTCTTTGTTCAACTTCTCATGTCCCCTTTACCCAGCTTATGTTAAATTTACAAGGACCCATCTTTTCCCACTGTCTGTTTTATTCTTTATCCTGTTTGTTAAATGACTGATGTATGTGTTTATTTCTTCAGAAAATACAAAGACAGCACTTATTGATGCGGTTCTGAGAGTGGAGGGCAAATGTTCCTTCTGAGCTGCACAGCCAGTGCAGGGTCCCAGCAGGCTCTGCCAGATATATTTGTGACATAGGGAAGGGAGTGGGCATTCATAAAGCCTGGGCTGATACTGAGGGTGAGCTGTGATCTCAGAAATGACCGGCACCATTTCCCTGAGTTGCCAGATTGTGGTGGCTGACCGTGGGTCTGTTGGGTCTCAGCAGTGCTCAGCAGACCATGCAAAGGCTCCTGAGCGTCTCCAACTCCGTCCAGCCACCTTGCTTGCAGCAGTAGGCTATGCTCCCCAAGCCCTGGTTCTGTAGCAGGAAACAGATAATGATATTCACCCTTCTCCCAGGACTTCTTAATATTTATGGTTGTGAAATACTTACAGTAGTTTTTATTAATAGTTACCAGATGTGTCATAAGGATTAATGAATTTACGATCTGAAATGTTTAGAGCTCCTGAAATAGAGGCGACAATTGTGCAGGGAATATGGAAAAGAGGCTTAGAATGCAAATAGTTGAGCTTGGAGGGTGGAGCTGTTGTGTGTGAAGGAGCAGTGGCTCACAGAAGGTCCAGTCTGGTGTGTATCTGGTACCTTACAGTGACAGGCCGTTAAACTTGGGCCGCTTGAGTCTCACCCCACCCCCGTATGTGAACATACACAGGTTTTTGGGTACTCTGTCCATCTATCTCCTCTCAGCCTAGGTAATCCCCTTCTTGTTTCTACTTCTTTTTCTTCCCATCCAAGTTTAGGCCCTCAGGAACTCTCTGGAACCACTGAAATAATGTCTTCATCGATCCCCTCATACTGGGGCCTTCTCTTTTGAACTAGTCTCCCAAAGGAAGCATTCTCCTCACAGTCAACACTCTCAGAGCAAGCAGGAGCTGTTTGTGGACACACAAGACTTCTACACCTGCCCCCTCCAGCTTCCACCTCTGCATAGCACTGAGCCTCTTCCCCTGCTGGGGCTGCTAAAGACCCCAGGGTAGCTGTTCCTGGGGAGATACCAGTTCCCTGATGCCTCCCATGCTGCTCAGGCTGGTCCCACACAGCTACTAGGTCTAATCCCTTCTCCCCTGAACACCCTCTGCCTTAGGACCTTCCAGTCTGGGATCCTTTTCACACTCTTTATTTTAGTGATTTGGCTTACACATCCCTCCCCCCAAACAGATCACCCCTCCCTAATGAGAGAATCCAAATAGACATTGACACTTGCTGAGTCTGGAGAGTGGTTTTATACTAGAACCAGGGTTTGGTCTGTCTGTGCCCTTGGTTAATTTTTGCAGCTGTTTTGTTAGGGAGCCACTGAGTCATGATAGGGAGTTGCTGAGTCACGAGGAAGAGTGTGAGCATGTTTCTATGCTTAGTATGTCAGCAAGAGTCCATGTTTGGTGGCCACCATTCCCTCCTGCTAGGCTTCTACATATTCATATTCTCCTGCTAGGCTTCTACATATTCATATTCTCTCTCTCTCTCTCTCTCTCTCTCTCTCTCTCTCTCTCTCTCTCTAAGATTGATTTATTTTTATGTATATGAGTACAACAGAAGAAGGCATTAGATCCCATTACAGATGGTTGTGAGCCATCATGTGGTTGCTGGGAATTGAACTCAGGACCTCTGGAAGAGCAGCCAGTGCTCTTTAACTGCTGAACCATCTCTCCAGTCCCCCAGTCTTCAACATTTTTATGCCCCACCCTAATGCCATCTATTTTCAGTCAGACTTAACTAAAGAGTGGAACTTGTAGCCTGAGCATGAGGGAAAAATTTTTTACTAGGAAAATACTCTGCAAACCTTCCTGTTTGTGGGAGACTTTGGGTCTGTGGGGAAAAGAACAGAGATAGTATCAGGTCCCTTGGACTTCAAAGTGGAGTGGCAGGCACATAGAGGACTGCTCCATTTCAGTGTCAGCTGCCCTGGGTGCTGGGGGAGGTGATGCTAAGACACAGAACCTTTTTTGTGGTAAAGGCATGGAGGAGAGGTGGCTGGGGTCTTGGAGTTGAAGCTCCTCCAACTGCACAGCAGTAGCCTTACTGTTTCAGGACACCCTTGCTTGTTCATCCTCTCAAGCACACAGGCTCCTAGCTCCCCTGGTGTTTAACCAGTTTGCAGGATGAAGTGTATATCCTTTCTCTACTCTGGTCCTTCGTCGTACTCGTTTCTGCATTCTCCCCGGCACCTTCCCTGAGCCGTCCTACCGCTGTGAGTTAGAATGGGTCTATGGCAGTACTTATCTCCTAACAGTGGCCCTGGTGGCTACGGTGTCAACTTTGCCCTATGTGTGTGTTATCTGCAAATGAGGGATGGTAAGCAGTCATGCTTAGGCTTGAAGGCCCTGTGTACACAGTCAGAACTATTTGGAATTCTCAGGGCCTAGGATCCTGGGGACTAGGAGGAAATGGATGGAGGCTTATTCAGTTCAGGTTTCCACTGTCTTAGGTGCAAGTGGTCACTGAGCAACTGGCCCTAATCCTCAGCTTTTCTTTCCTGGGCTCCTTTAGTAAATCCTTCAACCTTTCCATATCAGAATGGTAAGAGAGTCAGTAGTAGAGCTGTGGCCAGCATTGGTTCCCTCCAGCTGCACAGGGGAAGTGAGGCCCACCCATGCTGTGCCTGCCCTGCCTGGGGGTTGTTCTCTAGTGCTGAGTGAGCAGAGGGAGAAAAGGGGACACCTGAAGCCAGAATTGGCAAGAGCTGGGGAGGCAGAAATGGTGGGCTCCGGGTTTCTTCCAGAGACCTTCACGCTGCTGGTCTGCCTCTGTGTCCCACTGCTGTTGATCTGATGAGTGTGGTTCCTGCCCCTCCTTCTGACTTCACGTTCTTATGCAGATCCTTAGCGTTCCTCTAACACTCCTTGAATCACTTGTCTGTAAGTCAAGTCCTCTCTGTGGTGCTTCCCCCTTTCTTCAGGCTCTTCCCCCCTCACCTGCTCTGGTGTAGGGTTTTTTTTTATAACTGGAATGTCTGCTTGAGCTTCTGCTGCCTCTCCGGTTGGCCTGGCACTGTCAGTGAGGCTTTCTGGCTCCTGGCTGCCTTCTGCTTGCTTTGTTCAGGAGTCAAGTTACCTCTCTTTCTTTTCCTAGCTCTGTTCGTTTCAGATGCCCAAGGCTGCCCCTCTGTCTTTGTGTGCTTGCTGCTCCAGCCAGAACAGCTGCCTTCTACCTCAGTTGTGCAGCCTGTGGTGGGCTCCAGGAGCCCACTTGCAGCCCAGGCTCAGGCCGACTCCCGGCTTCTACTCTGACTCAGTTACTTCGTGTAAAGACGTGTGCTCACAGTCCAGGATTGATCAGCATGTGTCTGTGACCACAGAGAAGCATGACAATTATATGTGTGTCTTGTCTCTGGCTCGGACCAAGCTTGTCTTGTGTGGTGTGGAACCCTGGTACCCTCAAGCCTTTTTGGCAGGAGTGTGTTAGAGTTCCTGAGAGTTGGGATGGTCTCCTTGTGTCTCCTGCTAGCTGTCTGCTCTGGGCCCCTCTACCCTTTGGGCCCTCACTCACTCACTTAATTGTTTCCTCAGCCCATGCCCCGAGTCTTGGTGCAGCCTACCTTCTCAGATGCCCAGGCAACAAGGACAGAGGAGGTGAGTCACCAGGTTGGGGCTGCCCCACTTGCAGAGGTGGCCCTGACACTACCTAGGATTCTTTCGTCCATACCTGCCTTTCCCTCTTTGCTTCCCACTTTAATAATTAGCTACAATGTAGGTCACTGCCTTCTCCCTGCACAGGCTCCTTGTTACAATTTGCTATTTTCAACCTGCTAATCATATGATTGCTAAAGTTTTTGGTGCTTGACTGATAATGTAGTCTGTGCTTTAATAGTCCACCGCTAGGCAGAGGGGCTTTCTATAAACAGAACTATCTTTTTCTTGTGAGTGTTTGCTTAATTCTCAGTTTTATAGTTCATCCTGGTTCATGGTATCAGCGTGAAAGGACTTAATGCTAGGCTGGGAGAGAACTGCCTCTTCTGCTCTCCCATAGCTCAGCAGCGCTTGCCATCCTGTGAACAGTAGATCTCCCTAGTCGCACCACGCCCTTAGTCTCTCAGAAGATGCCTCATCTTCATAGGGAAAGTAATATAGTCAGACAACAGCAAACAGGGTCTGATGATCTGAGGGACAGTTGACCTTTAGGTAGTGCCTCATCGTGAAAAGTCCCTTTCACTCCAGTGCCTTACTGATGGCTTAGCTCTGGGCCCCTCCACCCTTTGGGCTCTCACTCACTTACTTGTTTCCTCAGCCCGTGCCCCGAATCTTGGTGCAGCCTACCTTCTCAGATGCCCAGGCAACAAGGACAGAGGAGGTGAGTCACCAGGTTGGGGCTGCCCCACTTAACTCACTTAACCGCTGAGTTAAGCCAAGGTATCCCCTACCGTGGGAACATTGTCGGTTGTCATGTGGAGGAAATTTGACCAGAAGCAACACTCACTGGTAAGGCCATCTGTGTCTGGCCCCTGCTGCTTACCCTAGTGGCTCACAGCTTTTGGATATTCTACAGGCCGCAGATAGGTTTCAAGTAATACATTTCAGTTCCAGCCAAGTGAAACTGTTTGCGGGGTGCTGGGGGGAGCCAGAGGAAGCTGTGTCACCTTCCTGTTGCCATCTTTAGTCTACCATCACTGTACCTGGCGTGTCCCTTCCGTGGGGAACATGCACAAGCCCTTCGGCTTCCCTGGGCTTCCCTGTACGTGACTGTTTCTAGTTCCCACATACCTCTCCCACCGGTGACACAAGTGGGCATTGGAGGTGTGTTCTGTGCCGCTCCTTCATGCCACTCTGGCCCGAGTGGAACTGGAGGTGACTGGATCTTACTGATGGGTGAGTATGGAAAGGCCACAGGTCATGTCCAGCTTCTCTTGTAGCTCTGTGTATTTCCCCTGCACCCAGCAACAGCTAACTAGAGTAAGAAAGAATAAATAAAGCATGTCCAACTTTCAGAAGAAAAATGATTGAAGGATCATCTAATCTTTCAGCATATTTATGGCGATGACAGTTATTGATCTGCAGGATTGAGTAAGTTTTCAGTCAGAGCCCTATCACAAAAATGGGCTGTTAATCTCAAGAGTGCTGTGAATCCCCTCCCCCAGAAAGTGTGCCTTATGGGCAGTGAAGGCTTCTGGAAGGAAGCAGGAATGTAAGTGACAGTTCACAGGAAAGCGCATGATTTATCAAACCGCTGAGTTAAGCCAAGTAACTGGAAGAGACTTATAGATCTTAGCTACTTCCCAGTTCAAATAAATTCTAGGTTTCAAATGGAAAGTGATCATCTATAGTGTAAATATCAGGATCCATCTTTCTTCTCTGTGCAGCCTTCCATCTTTTCCCCATCCCATCTTCTCCTTCCCTAGCACCGTGGCTCCCTCAGACAGTTTCAGTTATCTAAAAGAACATCCTGTACTCACTTCCAAAACACTGGGACTAGCGGGGAGCCTACTATCACTGTGAGATCCTGGCTTTGTGTCTGTGTCTTCTGTCTGGTAACTCAGACAGTGATGTGAAAGGCCACTGGCTCTGTCCTTTCTTAGTGATGATCCGTTGGCCCATGTCCCAGAACCAGAGGCCCCCAGACCCTGATATGACATCAGCAGCCAGAAAAGTGAGCTCCTAGAGAAGGAGCCCTAGCTATAGGCTCCTGGATCCCCTCCTTGTTCCTGATGCCCAGCCTGTGCACCCCGCCACCACTGTCTGGGTCAGTGCCTCATGTGCCTGTATTGCTTGCAAAACCACTTTCAGAATGTCTGCTGAGGTCATCTTTTGGATTTTGCCAGAGAAAAGTGCTTCTCTGCTCTCTTTAGTAGGTTTTAGCCTTCCTCTGAGGACAGTGGAGGGTGAGGGCATCTGCTTATGTGGGAACAGGTACCTGAGCCAGGGAAGCTAGGATGGGCAGAGTGAGGTTTAGTGTGTGTTGCTTCCTCCTGGAGTGGGGCCCCTTGCCTCATGTAATGCCCTCCTGTGCCCACGTGCAGGGATGAGCACCTCTTTAGAAGATGAAAAAAGCAGCAGGGTCTGTGCCATTGTGCATTGTCCACTCCTCAACACAGATGCACAGCCCAGTGCTCACCTGGCATTTGGTTCCAGGGCCAAGACAAGCTCTGATGATGTTTGCTTCCGATGTGTGCTGTCCACAGCCAGGAACAGTTCCTTCCCAGGCTCAGTGTAGATCTGGTAGTGTTAGCCTCATGGGCTTTGATTTGGTGGGAAGGCCTTTCCACCTTTCCTTAGTGTGCCTTCTGTTTTCCTGCAGGCTCGACAAGGCAGCCCTGGGCCTAGTGGGGCTTTGGAGTCCATGGTGAAGATGGTGGCCCCTGCAGTAAAGATCTGTGACAAACCTGTCAAAGTGTCTTCTTCTCTATCTACCATGGTGGTTACTCAGCCCCAAGAAGGGCAGGATGGACCTCCAAGCCCCTTGAGCGAAGCTTCCAGTGGCTACTTCTCTCACAGCGTCTCCACTGCCACCCTGTCAGAAACGCTCACCTTAGGCCTGGACACCACAGGCCTTGGCAGCCAGACACCTGGATCCCCCCTTGCCCCATGTCAGGTCACCCCAGAGCCTGAGCTGGCTTTCCTCTCCTGCACGCAGAGCCATCCTCCTGTCCCAGAGGAGCCCCATGTAGCACCTGCAACTCCTACTCAAAGCACAGAGCTGGAGGTTCCCAGACCACCTCTTCTTTCTGAGCCCACATCTGCTGTGCCCACATCCCCATTCAGAATCCGGAAAGTACGGACCTCAGAGCTTAAGTCCTTCACAGGCATGCTGGGGGGTGCCTCCTCCGGAGCAGAGGATGACCTACTGGCTTCAGAAGACCCTAGCAATGCTAGGGGACAGACTCTGGGGAGGCTAGAAGTGACATCTGACTCTGAGGATGCCAGTGAAGTCCCTGAGTGGCTCAGAGAGGGAGAGTATGTTGTCGTGGGTACCAACAAGACGGGCATTGTAAGGTATATTGGACCAACTGATTTCCAGGAGGGAACATGGATTGGTGTGGAGCTGGACCTGCCTGCAGGTAAGTGGATGTGGGTGCCTGTGCTCAACATGACTTTGCTGAATGTAGAACGTGGGATGTGCTGTGTACCCCGAGCACATCAGACTCCTCGGGCCCCCTGACCCTTCATAAACCAGATGCTAGCTATCTAAACTCTCAGAATCCATCAGAGCCCCAAGGTAGTCACTGAAAACTGCTGTGGACTCAGTAATATCTTAAATATTTTTCTCTTGAGACCATGACCAGCTGTATGGTCCAGGCTGGTTTGAACTGACTTGGGCCCAGTGATCCTCCAGCTGTAGCCTGCCATTATCTGGGGCTATAAGTAGGTGCCACCATACCCAGTGTTCTTTGTAAAGTTGCACTCCAAATTCCGTTCTCCTGAGACTCCAGGACACTTAGCGGTGAGTGTGAGTGCGGTGGCTTAGGTGAGGTGAGCAGAGAGTACCGAGGCCTTGAGTCTCAGGTCAGACTGCAGAGCTCAGGGTGGGCAGGAGTCAGGGAGGCCCTAGAGAAGCGTGCGTTCAGACATCTCTGTAGACAGTGTACCAGTGCTGTTTTATCCTTTAAGAGGAGGCTCTCCTCGGGGCCAGCACTAGCCCCTTGTGGGATAAGCTAGCCTGTGGCCTCTTAGGCCCTTTTATCCTTTGTTGTAAGCACAGGCACAAACGGCTTTGTTGGGTACCCATTTCTAACCTGGGCCACATGGAACATGCTTACTGAGCTACCCTACCATCACTGTGATCTGTATTGTCTTATATTTGTCACCTCACAGGGAAATCTCACGTCCACTAACAGCTGTGCCCTGCTCAGCCTTGGGTTACAGTTAATCTGCTTTTTGTTCCCAAGTTTATTGGGGGGCTATGATCTGGGGTTGGATGGAAAGGAAACTTCTGTGCCCGGCTTCTTTCCTAACATGTGGCCAGGGTCCCTTTGTGTGGCAGTGCCATTGCAGCTCCTTCCTGTTTGTGATTGAGGAACTCTGCTGCGTAGATCTCTTCACTACTTCATTTAGGCTGCTCTGAATGTAGGCTGGGGACGGTGACATGGACACAGGGCCCCTCACTCCCTCAGTGTTGACGGTGTGAAGACAGCAGACAGTGCTGCAGGGTCAGGTGTGAGCATCATCTAGCTCCCTTTTTGAGCAAGGAGAGTTCCTTGGTCTGAGCATGGGAGGGGTGAGAATGTAAAGTCTGGATGGCAGGGGCAGGGCATCCCTGAGATGTGTGGCCCACCTGTTCCCTGCTAAAGCAACTGCTCAGGCTGCCAGTGACAGACCTGGCTCCCTGCCTTGTCTCCGGGTGCTCAGCCAGATCTAGCAGCTTGTTGGACTGCTGGGTAAACTCAAGGCTTTAAGAGGGCACCCCTAAGAACTCAGCACCAGGCCCTTGTGTCTCAACCAGACTATGGTCTCACCAGTCCATTTATCCCTGGCTGCAGACACAAGCCAGAATGACACCCTTGTCTCTGAGCCGAGTGCTTCCTGTGAAGTCACTACCTTTAAAAATAATCTGGCAGAGAATACCTTGATTTGGAACTGGTTCAAGATGTTAACTGTAGTAGAGGCTAGAAAACATTTCAAATCTGCTTTTCCCGAAGTGCAGGAATAAGTCTGTATCTGCAGTTGAACTCAAAGAGAATTAGGAAATAATTTTTAACTCATCGGCAGGAACTATGTGCTTTGTTTGCATTGCTGTGCTAGAGTCATACACGCTATGATGAGCAACATCTCCCGTTGACTTTTAATTGTGGTGAGGAGAAAATGCTAAGTGAATAAATATATTTTGATAAGAACAAGTGTGCTGAGGGGATAGAGGAGGGTGGCTGTCCCCAACACCGCATGCTCTTCAGAGACACAAAGGGTCCAGGAAGCAGAGCTGGCACAGGGGAAGGCAGGGCAGTGCACCATGCTGCTGAGGGTGGCCCAGCTTTCTGTGTGGACTAGTAGGAAAGTGGCCTCTGAGGCGTGAGGGGCCCCTGGTGCCTGCATCTGAGAGTCTTGTGTTAGTGCAGTTGGATCAGGGATTGGAAAGATCGCCCCTCACAGAGCACACAGGAGAGTAATGGGATAGGAAGACCATGTCGAGGTGGCAGGTGTGTGGGCGGGAGGACTGAGGTTAAGGCAGTGGTAGGTGTGGGAGGAGTGGTCAGGGTTCTGGAAGATGTGTAGGAGGGGGGCCATCAGGAGGAATGTCAAGGTGACAGTGTATGGCATCAGAACAGGCCACAAACACAAGTCCCTGAGTTGGAAAGGGTGGAAAACTGCCTGTCAGTGTAGGGTCACTGTTTCAGGTGATCCGGAGACACAGAGATGATAGGTGCCCTGGGGGGCCAAGCTGGGGGACAGCCACACCTGGGCTGAGCTGGGATGTGGGACATGCAGCTGGAGCCTTGTGCATTTAGGAAAGGAGCTAGTGGCCCTGGAGGAGCAGGAGCCAGCTCTGCCTTGATGGCCTCCTGTCATCCTCAGCAGGTCTGTTGCAAGGCCTCTGCTTCGCACTTAAGACCACAGGGCTATTTGCTGTCTTGGGAGGCTACTGTCCTGGGCTCTGGGCTCACTGGCTTCTGGGTTGGGTGGTGGCTTGGAGGTAGCAGCATGATGGACACAGTAAAGAAGGTGACTGTGTCTAACAAGGCTTTTCCATGATGCTTCCTTCCTTCCCTGCAGGAAAGAATGATGGCTCCATTGGTGGGAAACAGTATTTCAGGTGCAACCCTGGCTATGGGCTACTGGTGAGACCAGGCCGGGTCCACAGGGCTGCAGGCACTGGGCGCAGGCGCAGTTCAGGGCTCCAGCCTCAGGGAGCCCCAGAGTCCCGCAGGAGTGCTACCATCTCAGGCTCTGCCACCAACCTGGCTTCACTGACAGCTGCATTGGCTAAGGGAGACAGGAGCTACAAGAATCCTGAGAACCGGAAGTCCTGGGCCAGCTAGGATGCATCTCCCTTGTGAACACTAACGGGAAGGGGGAGACCTGGTTCCTCCATGGGAGCAGGGCCATGAATGCTTTTTGCACGACACGACGCAGGGATGATGGACAGTCTGGTTCCCTGCCCTCTCTGGGAATCTGGAAGCTGGACTTTCTTCCTCTACTTGGCAGTGGCAAAGGTTCCTCGGCTGTGCTCCCTGGTTAGGGTTGGAAGGTTCCAGGAGCCCAGAGACTCATGGGATGGTAGCTGGGTGGCAGGGCTGGAGCCAGCCCAGCTCCTCCTTGCCTGCTTGAGGATGTGTGTGTGGGGGGAGGGGGTTCCCAGCCAGATGTGTTGGGCTCCCCTTTCCTTATCCTGCTGACTTCACTAATGTCTTAATTTAAGCAATGATCCTAACTAGTGTCTTGCCCTCATGGACAGGACTTCTACCTGGGCCCAGCAAGCACACCAGTCGATTATCAGCCTCTGCTAACCCACCCCTCGTCCTTCTGCATGCCTCACAGGGTTTCTAGGAGGCATCTTTCTGGTGTCCCAGTGTCCTTGCACTCAGAAAGTCTTTTCTGCTGGCCATTCATTTCCTAACAGGATGCTTGAACTATATTTATTTAATTTATTTTTCCAAAAGTTAAAATATTTCACAAACCACAATCGCTGTCTGTCCTAACATGCGTGCCCAGGGCCCACCTTGTGCTTACTGGCCTCTGGCTGGCCAGAGCTGCAGCCTCTATCTTGGATAGTGGTTGCTGGAAGTAGCAGCCAGCAAATGAAGCCAGCCACCCTTGTGTTGCTTGATTGCAGACACACCATGGCTTTACTGTCACTGGAGGGAAGGCAGACCCAGGGGCTTGACATGGATCAAGCCTTCAATACCTTGTCTGGATCTGCCAGGCTTCAGAGAACTGGAGACTGTTTTGACTCTGACGATTCCTAAGCCCTGCCTGCACCCGGGGCCAGCAGCTAGGCAGGTAGTTAGTGAGTGCAGAGCTGTTTCCAGTTCCGTCTTTGGATCTGTGCTGTGGTCGTGGTGTATCCCAGGGCATTACCAATCACCTGTTCCCTGAGCCGTGTGTGGCCTGAGTCCCATGGTGTTGGTGGAGAGCTCGGTGGGCAGGTCAGAGTCACCCAGTCCCTGTTGTTCCGGCCCTGACCCACCTTCCATCTCAGGGTGTCATTACACAGGTGTCCTTGGCAGTTTGTTGTAAGTTTGACTCTCAGACTCTTGAGGAACCACAGCTAGCAAGTATTGGTAGAGGAATTGGTTCTGTGAGGACACCAGGTGGCTTCTCAGAACACCTCAGCCTCCTCTGGCCATCGTGGCCTCTCTGCTAGTATTGCTGACACTGAGTCTGGACCATGTGCATTGTCTGAATAGCCAAGTATAAACTTCACTACTGTCTGCTTGCCTAGACCTTCACCAGAGGCTTCTTAGAGTGATAGGAAGATGGGGGAGAGAGGGAGCGACTCTTCCTGTCACAGGCACAGACTCTGCCTGCACTCCAGCCTGGGAGTTGAGTGTTATTCTGCTCCTCCCCACGATCTACCAAGAGAGACCTGCCTCTGTTCCATTCTTGAACAGCACAGATGTCTGGAGCTGCCAGCTATAGGCAGGCACCAATTAGATAACTCCTCTTCCTCAGTTGGCATTTTGGGGATACCCACCAGGTGAGTTAGCACTGCCAATCCTGCCTGGCCCACTCTCATGGAAGCACACACCACTTTTGATTGTGTGCCAGTTAGAGTTTTTTTCCTTTCAGCGTACACAATGTCCCCTAGAGAGCAGTCATCATTCCCCAAAGGGACCAGAGTACCCTCCTCTAGGATGGCCATGCAGTGGGTGCTAGGGAGAGAAGTCCCTGTAGGTGTTAAAGCCAGTGGTGTTAATGCTGTGGGAAGGGACATTGTGGTCACCTGTCCCTTGGATGGCGTAAAACAGGATGTAAAGGTTACTATTGACTTCATCTTGTTATCCAGAGTTCTCAGGAGCACTGAAAGTCCTGAGGGATCTCATTTGGCCAGCTGTTATCCCGTGGTTCTGGGACCATCTTCTCTCCCCAGCCTCCGCTTTCCTCCCTGCTCCTTGGACCTGAGGTTCCCCACCCTTTCTACTCCCAGGTGGCCTAAGAATTGCCCCTGCCTCTGAAAAGTAGTACTATTTCCACAGAGCCTTGCAGGATACTCTTCATGTGAAGTGCTCCAGCTTCATAGGCAATTGGCCAAAGCACATAGCATCCTCCAGGATGGCTGTGCCCATGGCCTCCAGTGGTTGGGGCTGGGGCCCAGCTTTGGGTGTGTTCTGTAAGCGCAGTCTACCTGCACAGAAGGCTCTGTTCCCACACACCTTGGTGCTCAATGTGGATGGATCTTCGGGGGTCTCATGGCACACATGGCAAGTGTGTTAGAAGTTTGTCCTCATGGGTGTTATGAGCTGGTCCTGACCCTGTGTGCTTGTCTGCCATGAGCGCAGGGAAGTGACCTTGGGAAAGCTGGCACTTTGGGGTGGGTCTGAAGAGATGGGGCTCAAGTGCATGTGGGCCTTCAGGGATTGCTGTGCCAGTACTGCACTATGACCTTCATGTCCCCTGTGGGCTGGATGAAGACCATGAGCTGTGTTCTTCCTGGGCCCTCATGCTAGATGAGGCCAGACAGGCCAGCTGCAGCCTCAGCCCTCTACTTCCTGCCTTTTGGAGCAGACTAACACTAACTTGAGCTGGAAGTGATGTATAGGGGTCATGGTTGTTAAAATGTCTGGTAGTAGGGGGTAGGTGGTGGGTGTGCGGTTGTGTCCCAGGTGCCCTGGTCTAAGGGACAGAGGGCCAGTGTTTCTGGGCTGTGTTTAGTGACATGGCCTGAGGAGTTGCAGAGGTATAGATGGTGTTTCCATGGTTCCAGTTTTCTTCACATATCATGCCTTAGAGGTTCTGTGTGGGAAGCAGGAGAGTGGCTCATGTAGCATTCACTTGTCTGTCCAAGCTGCCTTTGCTACACGTTGCCCATGAAGGGTGACCTGAAGCTTCTAGTGCCTCAAGGCCCAGGCCAATTCAGGTCAGAGACCATAGGGCCATCTCTAGTGCCTTCCCTGGGACCAGTGTCTAGTGCTTCCAGTCCCAGACACTTCCCAAACCATCTCTTAGTCTATACGGTGCCTTCCTGTTGTGCTATGAACTCATGCTATGTTGGGAAAGTTGGGAAAAGCACGGGTGTATGGATTGTGTAAATATGAGCACACATGTGATGTTGATTACAGGATTACAGTGATTTGGTGCATGTTAAATGGGAATTAAAAATCCAAAGACCCTGTAATGAATAGTAAAGATGATTTATGTTGTATGAGGAATCAGACTATTGTAATTTTGTACCATACATGCCTTTCCATCAAGTGACCAACAGCTTCTAAATAAATCCAGGTGACTTCTTGCTTATGTCCGAGGTCAGTCTTTACTGTTCTTCCCTATCCTCACCCTGGGCTTCAACTTACTACACTGTCCCTTGGTGGTGGTCCTAGGGCTTCCAGAGAGCAGCAGGCTCCAGAGCACAGACTTCAGTGAGCCCTAGACGTGGATCAAAGATCCTGGGAATCCCCATTGGCATCATGGCCTGTCTCCAATCTCTTACTCATTTCAGACCCTTCCTTATAGAAGCCAGGCAGCAGGAGAAATTCCTGGGGGACCCAGACTAGAAATAAGTGGAGCTTCAGGGCTAGCTAAGAGCAGGGGTGTGTGTGCGTGTGCGTGTAGGCAGGGTTTTAAGCTATGATTGATACAGGCCCTAACTAGAGAGCAAAAGTCTTTCTACTGCTGTACATAGATATACCTTGAGCAGCGGTTCTCAACCTTCCTAATGCTGCAACCCTTTAATACAGTTCCTCATGTTGTGGTGACCCCCAACTATTTTGTGACTGTTGGCACTTCTTAACTGTAATATTGCTACTATTTTGAATCATGATGTAAATATTTGTGTTTTCCAATGGTCTTAGGTGACCCCCCTGAAAGGGTGAAGACCCACAGGTTGAGAACCACTGCCTGGGAACAAGGTGTTTTTGAAAGAGTGATAAGTTAGGGCTATGGAACCTCACTTTAGGCCTGCCTACCTGGAAGCCTGCCCTTTCTGGTTTTGTGTTAGGGAAGTGACCTCCTCTGTCACCCATGGGGCCCTACTCTTTGCCACTCTCTACAGTAAAGCATTGTTTCCAGAGTACTGGACTCACGTTCTTCCCCCTGCACCAATCATCCTTCTGCCTTTGTCTCATAAATAAAATAGCCTGAGAATGCTGGGTCAAGGGCACCTGGAAGCCCAAGCGGAGGTGACCATCAGCCATAGGCAGCTTCTGTCTACACAGGACTTGTTTGTATTCTCAAGTGCAGCAGTTATTCTCAGAGATAAGCCCTGCCAAACAGAGACAAAAAACGTGGCAGCCAGGAGCAGTCTCTTGAGATATGAGGCAGGATTTTGAATGGAACTGATCCAGCAGCAGGGGTGGGGGTGGGGATACCATCTTTTTCAGACTGCAGTTACCTGGCAGCCCCAGGAGAGGGCTGGTCTGTACCAAGCCCTGGAACGGGCTGTGGTGGGTGTCACACTTGATTCACTCTTTGCTTGCTGAGTGACTCAAGGAATGAGGGCACTGATTCTGGGCCTGGGCTCCCGCTCCTTTAAGAGGCTCAGGATGGGCAGGCTGCAGCAGGAAATGGAGAAAGCAAAAGCAAGCTACAGAACCTTAAGCTTGGCTGTGGTCCTGGGGAGGAGCCTTACCAGATGCGCCCCCCACTCACCCCCCACCCCCACCCCTTGGGGGCAGGGGTTCTGCTCAGGGTTTAGAGCTGTTATCTCTCAGCTCCCTTGTTCCTTTGGAAAGTCTGAAAGGCTGAGCTGGGGCCTGGGCATTTGCCTAGAATGTGGTCCCTATAACTGCAAAACCAAAACAAACTAGAAACTGCACAAGGGAGGGTGTACAGAACAGACCCTGTGTCCACTTTGGCCAACTGAGCACAAACACCACTCCCATGAATTATCTGGATCCAAAGAAATCCCGGAGAGACTTTGCTCAGTTATACATTTTATTCTCTAATAGGTACAATACTAAAATAAACACAAATTAAAAAAAAGTTTTATTAAAACAAAACTGTACAAAAAAGCAGTATACTACATTTTAATTACAGAACAGTCTACTGTCCAAAAGGCACTAATCCAGAATAGGAGATACAATGAAACAGGACTCATTGAACTATTTAATCAATACAGTAGAGCGCTTGTTTGACCATTTACATCGAGAAACAAGGGCTTCTTGCTACAGTCATCACACATTGTTAGAATCTGAGTCCTACTGGGAAGGTGCAGTATCACTCCCTAGAGCAGGCTCCACCAGGGGCCAGGAGGGGGCTGGGAGGGCGTGGGCAGCAGTGGGTACCCAAGCTTGTCTTGGCCTCTGGTGGGTTGGTTCTGGCCATGATTGGCAGCCATTCTAACCCCTCTCCTGTTTAGCACCGGCAAAGTGGGTTCTGAGATGCTCCAGGTAAAGAATTGGACCTCTGGTGACAGCTCCGATAGGAGAGGCATCTGGTAACCCTGTCTGAAAAGGCAGCAGCTACCTGGGAGACATGGCCCAGTGGTAGCCAGGGGGCTGCGAGCTATGCCAGGTAGAGCCACCTGGGCAATGGAAAGAAGTCTCCCCTTGCTCCCTGGGTCTGTGAGTATCCAACGATCTTGTCTGGGAAATTGGTTTCTAAAAAGGGAGTTTGCTTCCCAGAGACAAGTCAGAATGCCATACCATGCCTGGCCTCAGGGGTGCAAACCTGCTCCCCTGCCTGTTAGGTGGCCATACAGCTCCCTGGGCCCCAGCGTTATTAGCACGGACTCTGGCCTAAGGAAGAAGGATACTGCAGCTTTCCAAACAGTGTCATACACAGAGAAGACAAAGACAGGCATCTGATGTTAACAAAAATAAGTAACAAAGAAATGGGGTCAAACCAAATCTCTTCTCACAGCGCCCTATACTACACCCTCCTTCTGCTTAGCAGAAAACTGTACGTACACAAAAATACAAATACACAATTTTGTAGAACAGTCTGATTTTTAATATATTTATATATATTTATATTTATACGAGTGGCAGGTTAGTTCATTATATAGAGCTTTTTGCACTTTTGGCTCATATGCAACAAGGCTTATAAGTTCAGCTTTAGCTTTCATTCAGATTTTATAGCTTTTGAACAAATTTTTCACATTTAAAGCAGCATCCAATTTGCACTAGGAGTCTGTGGTGATTATGGGGAAAGATGGGGTCAAGAGGTTATGGGAGTGGGCGGTATACATTCCAGTGTGTGTGGCATGTAAGGAGGATTCCATGTGGACAGAGCTTGCCATGATGACCCCTTGAGGTAGACTGAACACCTTACAGCAGACTCAGACACAGGTGTGATTCACCCTCAGGGACACATGGCACACAAGATGGGGACAGAGACCAGAGGAGACACCAAAGGGAAACACAGAGACTAAGACACAACAGCCAAGGCCAGGAGGGCGCCCTGCCCCCTCCCCGACTCATCTGGCAGGATCCTACACCGCCCGTTAGGCTGAATACCTGCAGGCAACCTCAAGACATCTGGTCCCTGGTGTCTGGTCAAAACATGGAAGCCTGCTTTCCACTTCCCTGCTGGCCATGCCAGCTTGTTCCCAGACCCACAGTGAGCTACACACGCTGCACCTCAGCAGGCATGCATTCGGCTCTTGATAGAATGTTCAAGTCCAGTCAGGACCCAGCATCCTGGCCCCCCTGATGCTCTGACTCAAAGCTGTCGTCCCTCAATTTGCATCCAGTTGACATTCCTCTATTACACCGGCCAGACAGGTACTTGGTAGGTAGACCATGGACGCTGCGTCTAGAGGGTGACACATTCCTCAGGGGCAGCATGGTTTTGCATGCTCCACAGCCTCCCTTTTGCCACTCACCCTCTGCTTTCACCTCTCTAGATAAGGCAGAGTCACCCGCACCGTTTTACGCAAATGCCAAGGGTCTGCATTACTCCACTGTCTGAACAAAAATCCTGGATTAATGAAAATAAGGTGCCAGTGTAATGGATTGTTTCTTTCTACTTGTTACTGCTTACCAACTGAGCACAGCACAGTCAATGGCCTGTCCTATGCCCCATGTAAATAAAGGCCCACATCTAGCTCACACTTTCATTATTCCCCCAAAGAAACAGTCTCTCACTCATTTTAAAGAATGTGCATTGGATCTTACTACGACTCTACTGCTGATGGCCTTCGGCTCCTCAGTATCTGGGCTGTGGATGCAGTCAGGGCTCCAGTACACACAGGTTTATCAGCCATGAGCCCTGCCTGCTGGCCCTCTTAGAGCTGGAAATGGCCCCAAGTGCTGACTGATGGAACTTTGCTCAGAGTCTCTGGCCTGTTTTTCACTCAGTGACCACTGAGTTCTAGCTAAGTAGATTCCTTAAAACTCCCTCTGCTCCAAGACCACAGTCATATCAACAGAAGGAACACAGGAAACAGTGACAAAGCCAACCCTCTCCCCTTGCTTGCCCTTGTGACCATTCTGCCTGCAGAATGGCAGGGATGCTGGGTTGGGGAGTGGGGACGTGCATAACACCTGCCCTGAAGCAGGATGCATGGTGGGAAGGACAGGGCACTGGCCAACTCTCAGGCAGGTCCCAGAGGTCTGTAACTTGCTTAGGCACTTAAACATAAATGAGAAGTTTGTTTTAGAAGGTACTGCAGACCCAACCTAACCATGGCCCCGGAGGGGAGGCTGAGCCCATGGGGAGATTGGAGAAGGCTGTAGGCTCTTCCAGGGGAGACAATTGCCACAGTCTTGGCACCTTCCAGCCAGTGAAGTTATGTGGTGGCTCAGGGGCCAGTTTGGCATCTGTGGTCCCTGATCTGCACTGAATGAGGTGCAGACTGCCCTGACACACTGTTTAGGGTCATTGTGAGGAACCACTAAGAAGAGAGCTTTCAGGGTGGTACTGTGGTAGAACCAAAGAGCATAAAGGAGAAAAAGCTTGCCAGAATGGCCAAGTGCTTGGAAAGAAAGAGCTCTACCCACCCTGAGAACTTTGGTTTTGTTTGTCTGGTGCCCATTTTCGGAGATGAGTGATGAGATCTCCACTGCTTTCAATACAGTCAATGTGGGCATCAAGGCGAATGATGAAGGATGCTTTCTGAAAGCAGCCACAAGTGCTCACCTCCACTAAGCACACATCACACACATCACACACACACACACACACACACACACACACACACACACACACACAC